GGAAATTATTTAATATTTTCAGAACCGCTTCAGATATTTCACTGATATTTAGTACGTAGTGAAAGTTAATAAAGTTACATATTTTTTAATGCAAAAATAATTTTTAGCTTTAACAGTGGCGTGCGTACGAGTATTGACTTCGATATTCTTTAAGAAAAAAATGGTACGCCAATGGGTTTTTGCCAAATAAAAATTATTTTTGAATTCCCCGTTCAATTTAAAACCAATGATCTTTTTTGAATTGTATTCGTTCGATGCGCCATTTTTGAGTAAAAAAATAAAAACCGTTCTATTATCTAACTTGCAAAATTATTATTAATTTAATTGGAAAAATAAAACTCATTAGGAACAAGAACAACTGACAACATAAACATAACATTAAAACCAACGAAATGATTACAAAAATTGTTGAAAATGGCCCCCTTCACTTAGTATGCATGCTTCCGCCTTCCTTCTCATGGAATTGCGCACTCGTTGAAATATCCCTGGAGTGTTTTTTATTCTGTCACAAGCTGCAACTATTGTTTCTCTTAATTTCTCTACAGTGTTAATGGGACTTGTGTACACTAGTGTCTTAAGATAGCTCCTCAAAAAGAAATCTAAACTGTTGAGGTCTGGGGACCTTGGTGGCCATTCTTGGGGCCCACCGCGGCCAATCCAATGATTTGGATAAACGGTTTGTAAATAATTACGAACCGCTACACTGAAATGCGCTGGTGCACCATCATGCATGTACCACGTATTGTTTCTTATTACTAACCGAACATCGGCAAGCAGCAAATGCCACTGTTGATGAAGAGAATTGAGGTAAGTCTGTCCGTCAAGTCGTCCCGGCAAGAAGAATGGACCAATAAAGTGGTTGCCAATAATTCCTGACCATACGTTGATCGAAAATTGGTGTTGAAAATAGGTTTCGGTTACGGCATAGGGATTTTCTTCTACCCACAAATGATTATTATGGAAATTCTGAAATATCGAGAAAAATTAGCTTCGTCCTTGAACAGAATCTTTGATTCAAATTGCGGACAAAAAATTAACAATCGCTAAACAACAAACATTTTGTAGGTGTTAAAAATCGGGAGTTCGGGGACGGTATATCTCATTTTTTTGGTAGCATTATACTTTCACGCTCTCAACCAGTAGTAATTCTACGCATCTATCAGAATTAGATCATATTTCAAATAACATTGTACATTACAGTATCGCGGCTAACGCTGATGGCATGGTTGTCTAGTGCGCTTCAGGTGGTCGTTACTTGGAATAAGGAAAAAAATGGCGTTAGCGTTTTTGTTATACTCGTACATGTTTGTAGCTAGCCCAGAGGGACGTACTTGTACCGAACTTTTTTTTTGTTGAAATAGAAAATAGTGCCTTTGGAAACTCGACAACAGATTAACCAAACAAACAACCAAATGACATCTCGATGGTTACTATGTCAAAATACGGCATTTAAGTCAAAGTGCAGTTTTAAATATTCAGTTAAAATAGATACAGATACTTCCATGAATGCAATATGTGTTTAAGGTATTATATTATTGTAAATAACCAGCAAAAAATAAAAACGTCGTGCATATTCCATATTGTGACTATACCATTCAAATTCGTTATGCATTCGGCCATACTTTTATGCACGGGGTAGTGCTTCAGTATCCAACTTCGAAGTCGCACAGTGGTTTACCCAGAGAACTATTTCATCATGGACAAACAGGAACTGTCTGCACATTATTATAGGCTACATAGCTCCAAGGCCATATTTAGACCTCTCTTGCCTGAAGCATCCCACTCGCCAAGTTATTAGACAGAAAGGACCGTAGGAAAAAATACCTCCACCACCACCGGGGCATAAAATCATCGGTAGATATATATCAGCGGTATCTTTTGATTTTTTATAGTTTTTTAAGCACTCCTCTCTGGGTTCTCATGAAAAATAATACTGCGTGGGGGTTAAGGGGTGTAAGGTTTCATTTGAGGACTCAGCAGTAAAACAAACATTTATAGGGTAGAGATTAAATTTACGACGTCGTTATGAATAGTTGCAGAGACGCTTCTGCTCCGTAAAATTGGAAATTAAGGTGCACAGTAGGAATGATGCAGAGATGAGGACATGATTGTTAACTGCCTGTCGTGATGTTTGCTGTCTTCAGCTGCTTTTATTCTTATTCTGTACCCAAAGACGATGACAGGTATTTCAATCTGATTTTTTGTTATAACATTTCCAAAGTATTCAAAATACTTAATCGAAGTACCTAAAGTACTGATGCAAAAGCAGGTATAGTAAAGTGTAATCTTAAGAAGCTAGTTGAGTGTGTGAGGTAATACTAAACAGATCGTATTAAGAGCTATTATGATTAGATATCAAACATTGTTGACAAACAGCTTTAGACCGGATCTCCAAGTAAATGAGGCTAGAGCAAACGGACGTGCTCATTGCTGTAGTCTGAGGATTTTTTTTTTCATAAAGATCGAAATGTTGCACTAGTCCACTAGTGGCTCTCACAAAACATACGCCTTTTGATGCCATTGCACTACGTGGAAAATAGTAGTAGAAGTTGTTTAGAAAGAATGGTTTTAAGTATAAGAGCAATCTGTTTATTTTACCCTGAGGCAGGCGCGCAGGCAGAGGCATAAGCATCTGGGCCTTGTATAGAGTGAGGGGTCATACGAGAAAATTACTTCTTAGCCCTAAACGAATAGCCAAGCTGTTTTTCAGCAGCTCCTTGTTCGTCAAGGTACAGTGCCGTGCTTTGGAAGCATAAAACAATGAACTGTTCAATATTGTTGCATTGCCAAGCATTGATAACCTCCAGGTCTTTGGTCAGAGTGTCGCTAGTCTTCTTTTTTCCATCTCACCGGCAGAGATCGGCTGTCACCAGTAAAGATGTGGATTGGGTTGATCGTACAGGAAAGAAGGTTGTTGATGTGTAAGAGGAACAGTGTCGGAGCCAAGAATGATCTCTGGGTGACACCCTCGTTGACGTTGTGGGATGAAGAGGAGAACCCGTCAATTACGACGGACACCTTGCGGCCAGAGTGGGAATTTGCGTGTCACAGCTGATCGAATGCTTTCATGATATTAAGACCAACTACATGAGCCTCACCATAAGACTGGATGAGCTTATGGGTCTATGTGAGAACTGGAGCAAGCTCCGCTGCATACCTCTCGCATACAGTGGCAGGAATCAAGTCCGTACCAGAAGCAAGGCAGCAAATAAATTTGGGAGATGTCAGGACTTGAGGCGAAGCCACACAATGTCCTTCCGGGCTGACTACCAAGAAGCATCTCTGAAGTAGGAAAGACTACTGCGGACAAAAGCTACAACTCCCCCGTTCTTCCTCACATTATTGGAGTACATCTAATAATTTGGAAAGCTTAGATAATTAATCGGTGCAGACGCAGAGATTTTTATCTCCGCCAAGAAAAGCATGACGGGACGATTAGATTGAAGGGAGCGATGAGCAGCATGTTGCTGTTAATCCAGAAGATGTTCGTGAAACAAATTCTATCACCGACGTTGTTCCCCGAGTCCACCCTCTAGAGTGGAGAGAGTTTACGTCCAGAATCCTTAGTACTTTGTTAGGGAAGATAACCTACTGCGTAGCTTAGGTGTGGAAACATGCGGACATTCTCAAGACACCCTGGGAAAAGCAGATGGCTGCGCCTCGTTGGACTGATCTTTGTCTACCACCTTCTTTTTGCATGTTAATGACGTTAAATACACCTATAAAGACCTGTCGGCAAACGTGTACCGCCACCCAGCAATCGGTCCTGAGGTATCCCTTAACGCGTGTACAATTACTTGAACGGGAAGAAGTTGTATACTGAATACAACAAAACACAAAACAGTGAGATGCCTGTGGGAACTGCATCCCAGTTCGAATTGTCAGCCGGTTCTCCACTGTGACCTCTAGGCGCCGGCGGTTCTGGTGCTATAGTAGATATGGCCTATTCGCATTTGATCAATCTAGTAATATAGTTTTCGTCCTTCCGACCACAGATGGCCAACCATGGTTCGTGCTATTTGGCAACTCCTTGTGACGTGTTTGTCATGTTAAGCTTAATGTTAAACAGACCGTCTATACCATGATCCACACAGAGAATCGACACATTCGAATATCTCGATTTCGAAATTTCTCGTAATTATATTACTTCCTCACCAGTTTTAGAAATCGAAATTTTTGCGATTGTAAAGCACTATGTTTTAATTTTTAGCAAAAAATAATTTACGCATGCTTGGGATAGCAAAATTAGGTTTCAATTCTCAAATGGAAAAATCGCCTCTATGCGAAAGATTTAGTGGCAATTTTTAACTTGTGGAGGTGCAACATTTTGCAGGTCAACAAGTGGAATGTGATTCCCCGATAATGAAGCGAAAATACAATCCCGATTCGGTACATGTACGAGGGACGTCTTTTAGGTTTTGCATATAGAAACATAGTAGGCCGCGCGGATCGAACGTCAGTACCGAATCTTAATCTCAGTCTTTAGTAAACTTAAATTCAAAGTTTCACAACAATTTTCTCACTACAGTGAATTTTTAAGTGTCACCAAGCCATTAGATGAATGGAACTCGACCGAGAACATTTTCGCGCCATAATTTATTACAACTTTCAGAAACAATTATCGCAAAAAGAATGCCTTGCTGAGTTACTGTCTGTTTTCGGCAACGAAGCGCCACATCAGCCGACAATTTCCCGTTGGCATGGAGAATTCAAACGTGGACGGGTGAGTCTTAGCGACGATCCCAGGGTGGGTGCACCAAAAACGGCAGTCACCCAGGAAAAAGTCGATGCTGTGCGCAAACTCATCATTGAAGATAGACATGTGACATATCGCGAGATTGAGGCGTCCTTGAAGATCTCAAAGACCCCAATTCAAAAAATTTTACATGAACAATTAGGAGTAAGAAAATTAGTTTCTCGTTGGATACCCCACCTGTTGACTGAAGAGCAGAAAGAAGCCAGGGTTAATTGGTGTCAAAAAACGCTTGACCGTTCCAATTCCGGAAACTCAAAAAATGTGTACAGCATTGTTAGTGGTGATGAATCGTGGATTTACTGTTATGAACCAGAAAATAAACGACAGTCGGCTGTTTGGGTGTTCCAAGGTTAAGAAAAGCCAACAAAAGTCAGCCGTTCTCGAAGTGTTTCGAAAAAGATGGTCGCGACATTTGTGTCAAAAGCGGGTCATATTGCAACAATTCCTCTTAATGAGCAAAGAAATGTTACTGCGGAATGGTATACCACCATTTGTTTGCCAAAGGTCATCACCGAGCTTCGAAAAATCAACCCTGAAAGAAGAATCATCCTCCACCAAGACAATGCAAGCTCGCACACAGCCCAAAAAACAAGGCAGTATTTAACGGAAGAAAACGTGGAATTATTGGACCATCCTCCATATAGTCCCGATCTAAGTCCTAACGATTTCTTTACTTTCCCGAAAATTAAAAACAGACTGCGTGGTCAAAGGTTGCATTCACCAGAAGAAGCAGTTAATGCATTCAAAAAAACCGTTTTGAATCTGTCAGCAAACGAGTGGAATAAGTGCTTCGAAAACTGGTTCGAGCGCATGCAGATGTGTATTAATCTTCGTGGAGAATACTTCGAAAAACAATAAAGTCATATAAAACTACCTACCGTGTTGTTTTATTTCCATATGCAAAAATTAAAAGATATCTCTCGTATTCAAATAAAAGCGTTCCCACCAAAGTGATGGCAACTCGACCAGTTATCGGAGCAGCTATGGCCAGTCATTTTGTAACGTTCTGGCCGTGTCTTTTTGTGGACTCAAAAAATCGTTGATAAGTAAACCTTCCAGAACAGCTACAGTCGATGTAAGAAGTATGACAAGCAAGTTAATAGTGTAAGAGGGGCCAAGAAGGTGTTAGTAGCAGATTGTTTATTTCACTTATGTTTCTTGTATATTGAGAATTTACTTGGTAAATAATAAGATACCATAATGTTGATTGTTTGATCTGAATAGATTTTGTTTGTGAAACACGTTATTTATAAAAAATTTCTTTAATTGAGCTAGCATAATAGTATATTTTTACTGCGCGTACTTATTAGCGTTAATCGTATGAAGCTCCCACTACCTCAAAAGAAGATTGAAATTTGCTTGACAGTGGTTGTTTTAATGGAAATGCAAAAATGACGCAATCGACGTCAGAATCTGGTTGTTGAAAACTGTGCCTTATAGATTACATTTCCTTTTTCTGAATTAAAATTACGCCAAAATTAACAAAGTCGTTTCGACTGCTTCTGTGGTAAAATAGCTATATCACAAAGCACAACTTTAGTCGCTCCAGGTTGCCAAAACCAGGCTTGTAATAGATACTGACCAGTCACTATCCTTAGAATAAGCGAAATGACCCTCTATACAAATGATAATTGGTCTTCCGCGTATCAGCCCATACGTTTCCGTCATGACTATTTTTGTGAGAACCCCTGAAGGTATTTGTTCTCATGGTAGATGCACCCCTTCGCTAACTAAATGCCGATGCATACACACGAGACGCCCTACGACTGCCACGCTTACGATTTAAATTTTGCATTGTACATTCAGGTTGCCGAAAAGGGTCTCTTTTACAATAGCGCCAGTCAGTGCAGTTCAAAAAGTCCCACAAATGGACAGGTCACGATATACCAAATACTTTACTTCGTTCAATAAGCTGTGGCCTCGGATACTTCTTTGTCTGTAGAATGTGACTGATGTATTTAATAGTGCTTAGAGTAATGAGATGATAATAGCAGGTCAATCATTCTAGAAACTCAACTTCCTAGATTGGAATATATCCCAGTAATAACTGGAATCAAGAGCGGACACATGAAAGCAAAGGGCGGATACAAAAAATCTTTGAAAAAATATAACATGCATTGCGAACAAGGTTTCGCAAATTTCAATATAACTGATTTGTTGTTTTGATTTTTGATCAGTGAATTAGGACGTATGATAAAGAATACATATTTTGGATTTTCTAAACTGTGTTGCGAGGCATATTTAATAGTTTAAAATAATCAGTGTCAACATTTTACAGAAAATAATATAACCTTTTTTTTTTTGGAATTCCAAGTCCTCTGTACATCTCTAACGTATTCCGAGGCTTCTTGTTTATACAGGGTGCGGCAGAGAGGATGGACGGTTTTAAAAAAATCATAAAATAGTTAATTTTTACTCGAAAACAAATTTATTGATGGAATCTGGTTCACAAGGAAATAGCATTTGAGACAGTCAAGTGTGGAAAATAACATCAGGATTTTCATTAGCCCGATAACGACAATTCTGCTGGTTAACCATGCTGTTTAGGTGAAAGTGGGCTTCGTCACTCATAGGCGAAAACCCGGTGCTCCACCGTCCAACGCTCCACATCGACAACTGATAAAATAATGCTAGGATCTCACGAGTCAAACGGCACCCTCCCCACCTCTCTCGTAGACGGAGGCGGAGAGTACTACCCATCCCAAAAACGTCCGTCCTCTCTGCTGCACCCTTTATTATATTGAGCGACACTTCGTCTTTTTATACTTTGTATAAATAAAGCCGGATTATTATTATTAATTATTATTATTATATATCTAACGAAAAGGTATCAGGCGTGAAAAGAATTGGATACATGTTTACAAAAAATTAATATATGAGTTCTAATTATTAATTCCAAATGCAGGTTTAGGGATAGATAGAGAATCTGAATCTGAGGCGATAAAACTCTACGGTCATCTATCTAAAATTTTTGTTCACCTATAGCAAGCCATTGAGCCTGAACCTACGCGAAAGTACACATTTTTGGTTATATACTGATAAAACATTTTGAATTCATGATCAAAATGGAGAGGCGTCAATCTCTCGACATCATATTGGTATAAAAATGTGTGCCTCAGAAAACGGTTCTGAATGTCTCTAATGTGACTCGGAATAATTCCACGAGATGTATTCAAAAGGACGTGCCCTCTTGAGCCATGATGAAAATCCAATCAACTTGTTTCCAAGTAACTTCCTCACGTCTCACTCTCTGAATACACTTTTCTGTGGACAGTGGCATCATCGATTCTTTTCTTGAAGAAAATTAAGCATTTATACCTAGTCAATACGTATTTTTCAACCGTGAAAGGATAAAATGATTGATGGGTTGACCATCAATTTCTGACACTATTCACTAGAAGCTGGACTGTTTAGTTTATAAATAATGATGTCACTGTGTTACTCATTATATAGAGGTCCCATTCTTAGAGATAAGTATCAAAAAATTCTAAGAAATAGAATCTTAATTGGAAGGGTATCAAATTCCCAGTAACAGGGAATACAAATTATCGGGATCTCGTAAAGGCTTCTCACAAATCCAGGGTCCACTTAACTAGGTTTCACTGACCAAGCCTATATCATGCTGAGGAGTGGCCAACTAGTACGAAACAGCTGTTAGTGGTTGGTAGTCTGTGGTCAGACGAGTGAAAGCTCTAGCACTAGTAATCTATTACTAATTTGAATTTTAGTTTCGCTTGGCATTTTGATCACTTTTGTACCAGAATAAAGTATATCGTATTTTTGCGTGACAATTGATACCACAAACCATCTATGTGAAATAACTGGCACCACTCCTAAAAGGAAGGCTAATGAAGGGAATCTCTCTTTGAATGCAGAGGATCAATAACCTCCCTTCGCAGGCCACTACATGGTATTTCAGCATCCCTTTAGCGCTGATTGTGTAAGCTGCCGCTAGGTGGGACTTCAGTCGACCGAGGATTTCCAAAGGCGTACTTTAGGGGTGATAGTACCCGTACAAAGGACATATGGGGAAATCGTATGAGGTCCAATATGTTCAATGACTCCTCCCTCTTCACTTTGGGGCTCGTAGTCGTATGTTACATAAAATACAGGATGATTAGGAAAACAGTTATAGTATTTCTAGAGGATAAAATATACCGGGTGCTTCTCCAAGGCAGCTCGCACCCTTATAACTTTTTTTTATCATTGAGATAGAGAAACAAAATTTTGGGGCTACATATTATAGATGAATTTATAATTTTTGACATATTCACTTGTACTGACGTACTTCCGGTTTGACCGGAAACGACTAAACTTTCGATTTTTAAATGGGACACCCTGTATACTTTTACTTATTTCGATCGGAAATGATATTGTGAACTCAACAACACCTCACTTGTCAATATTTGACAGATAAACTCATTTTTATTTAATTTTTTTTTTCGATCTAGAATGCCATGGATCCTGTAAATTTCTTTCTTTTTTGATCAAGTAACAGGAAAAATCGGTACTTGATTTTTTCAAATAGAAATACAGTGACTCGTCGGCTTTTTCTAAGAGACCAGTTTCTTACGAATAATTTGAAACTACACACTCTTATTTTAATTTCACTGTTTTTCTGAATAGTTCTAAGAAACGATCATACCTAACAACAAATAGTACGTATCTGCATTTGGTATACCTATTATTCTAGTTATTTGTGACAAACAGTTAAACAAAATAAGATTACAATCCAACCATAACTTAAAATCAATATAATTTGACTGGGGAAAAATAAAATATGACTGCTAAAATGCAGAATAAATTGTTTGATAGAACATTCAATGTTAGTTTTTTTATTAGTAAATATTTTTTTACTTGCTTACATATATATAAAGCTGTCACATGAAAAGGGATTTTTGAATATAGTTGTACATCAAGTCTTGTATGTTACATCAGATACAAAAAACAAAACTTGTAAGCAATGATAGGTCTGAAACTGTTTGGGAACCTATAAAGATCTGTTAGTACTTACTTATTACAACCTTGTTGAGAATTTGAAGTTTTGAATGCCTTCTTCTCTTATCTAGTTCCCGAAAAGATCTGAAAAAGAAAATAATATTCCCCTAACTTGGTCATATAACCAACTAAAGTCCTAATGACATGTATCAAATCCCATGGCTACTGCTATTCAGTATAAGAATGCTGTACAGCTTTACTTTCGCTGAACAGACTCATTGTTCTACAAACATAAAGTCCCACTTTGTAATAAAAAAGTCTTGAGGGTAACGAATTTTTGCAGTTTAATTAGCAGCTGCATTATTTGGAAAATATTCAAATTGAATTGATGCTGTTCCTTGATGGCTGTCATAGAGAGACTTGAAGTAATTAAATACATTTCAGGGCTGTATTGTCAGTCATTCTTACAATTGAAGGATGCCTTTATGGCTTCCTTGATTTTCACAGTATTTTCTCCTCTTCAAAAGGCTGCGGTTGTGAAGTTATGTTTTCTTCTTGAATCGTAGGAAATTTCAGGCTGATAGAATAGATATAAATCAAAAGTATGGACATTTTGGTGCGAATAGCTATTTGTAACATAACTTCAAAATCGAGCGGCAAATAAAACGGAACAGTAGAAGACTGTGAAAATCAAGGAGGCCATAAAGGCGTCCTACAATAATTGTTGGGACTACTGACGATAGCGATACGGCCCTTAATTATAGGCAAAGTT